CAAGAAAGAAAGAAATATGCCTGGCAATTGGTATGTGCTCTATAAATGTCAGTTATTTTTGTTGTTATTGTTATTATTATTGCTATTATTACTGTTATTCATACTTCCTGATTCAGAAACCCATTTCTTGATATCAAGCCTACAAAATAAAATCTCTATTACATAAGATAGACATACAAGGATGTTTATTGCAGGACTCTAAAGTGATAATTCCTGCAACTAACCTCATTATCTATCAATATTACATACTATGGAATATTATCTATTAAAAATGAATTAAAAATATATACATAGAGCAAGAAAATGAACACCATTATTAAATAAGACCTACTAGTGGCAAAACTGTATTTCTATTTGTGTAAAACAAACTTTATTGATTGGTTTCTATATGTTTTATCTAAGGGAAATATGAAATTTAGAATAGAAAATGGTGGAAATATAAACACAAGATTATTATTAGTTTCCTCAAAGAGCAAAAGTAAAAAACAAAATTTAAGAGATTAAATTATTATACCAAGATGAGAAAAAAATGGTCTAATATCAAGTAAAATGCTTAAAGTCACATAAATATGTAAAATGACATGAAGACAAAATTAAACGTACAAATAAAATTACTCTTTTCATTGATGTTTTTATGGTTATATTTCAAGGAGTTACATAGAATAATTTTAATTTATCTAATATACATTAATATTTATATCATTAAATTAGAATTAGGCTCCAATATTAGATTTAAATCTCAAGATGAAGACTTGAAATTCTAATCTGTCATAAATCACAAGGATATAACATGTTAAATAAATACAACAGTCAAGCTCTTGTTTAGGCTTAACATAGGGTAGTAATTGTAAAAATTGAAGAAATGAAAGAAGTGTATGAAAAGAAAAATGGTCACTTACTGTTTTTTAAGATGAAAAGTATATGTTTCCCTTTCAATTTTGATGGCATATGTGACCTACAGTAACGTATTCAGAGAGAAAGTAATTAGTAGAAATCTAAACTTCTTAATTCAAAAGCTATAATTTCTTAAATATAAGTACTTATTCATGTAAACAGATGGTATCACACATGTCCCAAAATTATATATACATGCATGTTGACTATGTTTCTTCAATCTTGGAATATATGACAGAATTAATTGTAATTCAATGTAAATAAAATCAAGGAGTCTAAATCTATTTCTAAACTAATAGAATTAGTCATTAGAATTTACTATCATAATGAAATTTTAATTTAAAATGGTTACATTTAGAAATTTGAGTAATCTTTGAAGAAACTTGAATTTAATTATCTTTTTTCTACTTTCCAATTTCTAGCCCAAATAAATTGAAAATTAAAGAATATAGCACAGGTAGTGGGGAGCTAAGATAGCAGAGTAGTAGGAGCACCCTAGGCTTGCTTCATCCCTGAACACAGATGGATAACTATCAAATCATTCTGAATACCCAAGAAATCAATCTGAGGACTGCACTAGAGAGAAGAAGCCACATTGTGGAAGGTACAAGGTGTGAAGACATGGTTTAAGGGAGAAACAGATTGCAGATACTGCAGAGGAGAGGGAGCCCTGGTCACAGGGAGAGCCGAGACAGAGAGAGGAGCACACAGGGGATAGCACTTCCCCAAAGCCATTGACTGGGAAAATGAGAGGAGCTGATTTTCAGGAGGTTTTACAACCAGTGGGGCTCAAAGACTGGCGTTTTAGATTTAATGGTGTGGCAAGTGTGGAGCCTGGAGGGCGCTGCAGTGCTCCTGTAGAGAAGGAGGGCAGATAGCCCAGATAGAAGGAGGACAGACAGCATGATCTGAGGTTCCCCGGAATGCACTAGGAGAGACCATTCCCCCTTCTTGGGGTGCATCTGGGAGAGGCGGCATTGCCTTTCTGGGGACAAAAGAGCCAATGGGCACCATTACCCTCCCCTCCCCCTCAGCATCGGTGCAGAGACACTGCTGAGGGTGCCTATCCTGGACTCTGGCCCTTTGCTGCACTTTACTCCAAATTCTGTGCCCCTTTGTGCTTTGGTGTGACTACCCTTCTGGGATGAACCTGCATCAGTCCCAGAACAGTGAGACCCTGCCCCAGAGGAACAGCGTGAGTCCACACCAGCCCAGGTCCCTAAAGTTTGGAGTTTTAAAACTCAGCCTGGGATAGAGCCCAGGGTGCACTGTGCTGTCAGTCAGTCAGGAGGCCAACGCAGACAGGGTGAAGGCAACAATCTGAGGGATGCCTGGGATACATGAGGGGAGATTGTTTGCTCTTCAGGGAGGACTTCCTTAGGAGCAGCATGTGCAAACTGCCCTCTCCGGGGACGAGGGAGCTGGCCGGCACCATTTCTCTCTCCTGCCCCTCAGCATAAACTAACTTCATAAGAATGGCTCCACCAACACTGACTGCCTAAGCTGTTATACCAAGTACCACAACCCTGTGCTTTGCAGGTATGGCTTTTCTCAGGCAAATGTACCTGAGAACCAGAGCAGCGGGCCCCTCCCCAAGAAGACCGGCACAAACCCCTGCACACATCATGTCTACTGACCATAGAGTTCTGCAAAACTTCATCTCTCAGGCCTTTTTTGAAAAGCAAACAAGAGCACACCTAGTTAAAGCGCCACACTCTGGCCAAGGTCCAAATATCCCCTCAGGCAAGGAGAAACTGCAGAAGACTGACATGAGGGAAAGAGCAACCAAACCACAACAGCCGAGTAAACAAAGCACACACCAGAGACACTTCCTGAAGCACCAGGCCCTGGACTGTATCTTCTTCATAAAGCCATCACTCCTGGGATCCAAAACCTAACAGGCTTTGCTAACCACAGAAATAAAAGACCTAAAAATTAGTCAGGCCAAAATGAAAAATGCAATAACCGAGATTCGAAACTGACTGGATGTGATGACCACTAGGATGGAAGAAGCAGAGGAATGATTAAGTGATACAGAAGATAAAATTATGGAAAATAATTAAGCTGAAAAGAAGAGGGAAAGAATATAGCACAGGTCCCCTTTTCAGATTAAAGGAAGTATCCCTAACTATAAGAACACTCTTCTCCCTGTCCTCTTTAGGAATTGCCTCAGCTACAGAGGGTCACCTCACACCAAGTCACAACTTTCTAAGACAGCCCATATTTAATGAGAACCCCCTTCATCCCAACTCCAGATATTGATGGGCCATGCTAGCTTCACATGTTGTTGAGACTCAGAGTCTCCCTCTCCCCCTTCTCACTTCCTCCCCTCCCCTTCCACAGGGGCTCATCACAAGAGCATACCCTAATAAACTGCCTTCACAGGAATCTCCTCAAAGACTGCATCCCAAAGAACCCAATCTGTGACATCATCATAAAACATACACGTTCTTCACTGCATAGCACATGGTCAATGTGAGTAAATTTTCCACTTTGCAAAGAATGTGAATTTTGTCATTGGGTACAGTTTTCTGCGTAAGTCATTTTAAACCTCATGTTCAGTCTTCTGTAAGTTTACAGCTATTAATAAAGGTGTGTTGACATCTCCCCAATTTATTGTGATATTATTTCTTTCTCCTTTTATCTGTAGTTTTTGGCCTTACATATTTTAGAGCTCCGTTTTTGAGTACAAACAGATTTAGTAGGGTGATATCTTCAGGATAAATTGATCACATTATCATTAAGGTACCTTTCATCTCTTGAAGTGCTTCTTTAACTTTATCTGATATTGCTATAGTTGCACCAGCTTACTTTTGATGTTTCACTTTTTTTATTTTTTAGCATTTGACCCATTCTGTTGTAATAAGTAGGCTTTCTAAAAAGTTTCATTATCATTTAAAATTTAGAGAGGCTTTCTGAAGGACAAGAGCAAGTTGCAATTTTCAGAGATTTACTAGTATAAAGATGCCCCTCAAGTCATTTATTTCACAATGGGTATTGTTAACAGTAATTGTATAGATGCAAACTAAATGGAAAACAAATTGATTTAAAGTACTACTTCTTTAGTATCCCTCTTCTTTCTATTGTTTGAGGGTAAATCAGTATAATTTCCCTTCTATATTATGGATATTAGGTAGTTAATGACATCACCATAAACCCAAGTTACTCAAAGCAGAAACATGGTCTATGTAATAGCTGTTCTGTGTCTTACCTTTTAAACCCTACTTTTTAAATATTTCTTTTCTTAATTTTTTTATATTTTAAATTACTGAATAAAATGGAAATAATAGGCACCCCTGTGTTATTCTGATCCTAAAATGGAATGCTGTAATGTGTAAAACATTAAGTATGATATTAGGTTATACATGGCTTTGGTTGGTACTGCCCTTGTTCCCTGGATCCATTTAAACACATTGAGGCCGTTCTCTTCTGAAGGGAAGAATTATGTGCATATCTGGTGAATATGTATGTATGAATGTATGAGTAATTTTCTAAAATGTTCTTTTGGTCACATTCATTGATATTTTAAAATATGTTAGTGTGATAGGTTAATACATTTTTCTACTATTAAAACATCCTTCAACAGAGGAGAAAATCTACTTGGTCATAATGTTCTACAGTTATTTGCTACTTTCACTTTTTAAATATTTAGTTGAGTGAAAGGACCTATAATTTCCCTTTCTCATACTTTATTTGTTCCCTGTCAAAGGTACATTAATATTTTTAAAAAATTACTAAATGATCAGAAGGATTACTTGACTTATGTTCTATTCTGTGTTCCGGTCTCTAAAAGGACACATCATCTTTCCTTGAATTTTTAAAAAATTTTTCCTAAAAATTTAAAACCAGGTCACCTGGGTGGCTTAGTCAGCTAAGCATCCGAATCTTGATTTTGGATCAGGTCATGATCTCTGGGTCCTGGGATCGAGCTCCATGTCAGGGTCCATGCTGGGTGTGGAGCCTGCTTAAGATTTTCTCTCCTTCTCTCTCTGCCCCTCCCCTAGGCTTGCTGTCTCTCTCCTTCTTCCTCTCTCCCTCACTCTTTTAAAAATAAATAAAAAATAAATAAATAATAAAAACAAAACCATTTGGCTAAAAGGATTTTCTGGCAATTTATCTAATTACTAATTCAAATAATTATAAGTGATTCTCATGATTATAACTGTAATCTGTAAGCAGATATTGTATTTCTACCTTAGTCAAAAGAAATGTATTTAGGTAAATATATCAAGATTACAGACTTATACCAAACCTACAAATAATCACAAAAATTAAAAATATGGCTGTGCATATATCTAAAAATTAACTCAGTTCAAATTTAGTATCTTTAGAAACTTAGGTGGACATTCTCTTTCTTACCAATTTTCTGTGCTACCTATAAGTCTCAGAAGAAGACAGAGAAAAGAGAGCAAAAATTTTATTTGAAGAAATAATAACTGAAAACATCCCTAATCTGGGGAAGGAAACAGACATCCAGATCCAGGAGGCACAGAGAACTTCCATTAAAGTCAACAAAAGCAGGTCAACACCAAGATATATTGTAATTAAATTTGCAAAATATAGTGATAAAGAAAATGTATTAAAAGCAACAAGACAAAAGAAGTTCTTAACTTACAAGGGAAGGCCCTTAAGGCTAACTGGAGATTTCTCAACAGATACTTGGCAAGCGAGAAGAGAGTGGCATAATATATTCAGAGTGCCAAATGGGAATAACTTACAGCCAAGAATACTCTATACAGCAAAGATATCATTCAGAATAGAAGGAGAAATAAGAATATCCCAAAATTTGTGATCACTAAACGAGCCCTGCAAGAAATATTAAAAGGGACTCTTTGAGTGTAAAAGAGAGACCAAAAGTGACAAAGACAAGAAAGGATCAGAGAAATCACCAGAAACAACACAAAATAAATAATGAAATGGCAATAAATACATATCTATTAATAATTACTTTGAATGTAAACAGACTAAATGCTGCAATCAAAAGACATAGGTATCAGAATGGATAATAAAACAAGATGATCTATATGGTACCTTCAAGAGACTCATTTTTAGACCTAAAGA